GCGCTAATATATATGCGCCACACAAAACAATGAAAATTCGAAGAGAGATAGAAAAAAAAAACTAAGGACCACAAAAGATAGTGTGGTCGTAACGATGGAACAGAAAGGTACAATCAGAAGAAATCTTTCAAGTAAGGGAGACACAACCACTTTTTATGAAGAAAGTAAAAGAAGGTTACAGCAGGATCGCCACTGGCTTCTATTCTGAGCCATATCTGATAACGTCTCTAGCCACTGTGTAGCACCATCTCTCAGACCCCAACCAGGGAGTCGTGAAGGACCGACAGAAGCCAGTCCTTTGCAGCTTTCTTTCATACCACGACACCATGTCATGCACTGACCACCTCTCCGCTTTTTCCAACCAGTCCCAGAGTCGGAAAATAATGCACGACGTGGAATTCTCTGGGACGACATTCGTAGAACATGTCCAAGCCACCGAAGTCGGTGTTTCAAGATGGTGACACCAATTGAATTATCATCTCTGTGCCCAAACACATGATGCCGAACCTCTGCATTACTGACATGGTGTTGCCACTGAATATCAGCAATCCTTCGGAGACAGCGATGATCGAACACAGAGAGTCGTCTAACGTCCTCAACTCGGAGAGGCCAGGTTTCACAAGCATAGAGCAAAACTGCTCTCACCGACGCGTTGTAGATCCGACCTTTTACAGCCAGACTAACATCACGAAGGCGCCAAAGATGGCCCAGATTGGCATAAGCCACTCTGGCTTTCACTATACGTGCATTGATCTCATCACTCACACCCCCACCAGCACTTATGCAGCTACCCAGATACACGAACTTCTCGACTACGTCTATCTGCTCACCATCCAGGGTGAGTACAGGATTGGAATCCTGCCAGTCTTGTAGAAGTACTTTGCACTTCGAAGGTGCAAAGCACATACCCATACTTACGGACACTGATTGCCAACTGATTAAGTGCGGATTGCATGCCTTGGGCGTTATCACACTGTAAGACAATATCATCCGCATACTCAAGGTCGAGAAGTCTTTCTCCAGGCAACAGATCCACACCACTATTACTTACATCCATCAGAGTTGTTTCTAGAATGTAATCGATGGCAAAATTGAAGAGGAATGATGAGATTGGGCGACCCTGTCTAACTCCACTGCTCGAATGGAACAATGGAGAGAGGTAGTTGTATGCCCTCACTCTGCCTGAGGTGTTTGTATATAGGGCTTTTAGGATGTTAATAAAATTCTCAGACACACCCTTCTTCAATAGACAATCCCAGAGAACAGTCCTATCCAACGAATCGAAGGCAGCCCTGATGTCAAGAAACACTACGATTGTTGGCCTTTGATAAGTATGGCGGCGTTCTAACATTAATAATAATAATAATAATAATTTATTCTCAAATAACAGTTTGTTACATGAGGCATGCCAGTTTACAGGCAAGATCAAATTGATACAAATGATACAATATACACTGCAATAAATTACATAGCTGGGTTGATAATTTATAAGATATGAATGTCGATGGTTTAAATCAGTACTACAGTTGGCGCGCTTCATGAAAATCGCGTTGCGAATGTGCGACTGATGGTCAAGAATAGGTCCATTGAAGGTATGGGCTTCTAAAAATCGCAACCTTATTTTTTTCTGGGATATCCAAGGCTTTAAGGATGGTGCAGGATGAAGTCACCAGTTCCATATCTCAAGGGGGCTGAAAGAGGGAGCAAGTAAAAGAAAACACGAGAGGCAGAGTAGCCAATATTCATGAAAGAATGCTTAAGGTATGATTACTCAGTCTAATTTTCCTTTATTACGGTATATGTTAAGAAAGAGCATTTTAATAGGTTAAAGAAAATAAGTGTTGACAAGGTGTGAGTGGACATACAACTGACAAATGGGGGCGATTCGGAAAAGAGCTGATAGTATAAGATTATGTGTGATATGATATGTGAAGATATGATCAATACATCCTCGATCAGAACGAATCCCAGCCTGCTCCTCGCGAGCCAATCTTTCTCGGGTTTTGAACAACTCACGAAGTATGAGGGAATCCAATAGCTTGGACGCGATCGGAAGTAGACTTATCTTCCGATGGTTGTTACAGGAACAACGTGAACCCTTTTTAAAGATAGAGACAGCTATCAACTCATTCCATGACGTTTGTACACTCTGTAGCTCCCAAAGCTTTGTAAACAACGTCGTCAGTTCCTTAGTCAGAAAGTCACCACCATCTTTCAAAAGAGCCGGAGGTAATTCATCTGTACCAGGTGATTTGCAACGCTTCAAGAGTTAGAGTTCCTTGCGGACTTCCTCCTCATTGGTGGATCAGTTGTCATCGGCCATGGAGGGTAGGACAGTCTGACTGATGTTGCCGAAGCAGCAGACCAGTTGGACTGCCCTTCGAAAAATTCTGCCCATCGTCCAAGACGTCGATGGATGTTAGTGATTGGCATCCCACCATCCTCGCAGATTGTTTCACTCACACCAGATTTCTTGCTGCCAGTGGCTCGGATGAGCTGGAAGAGCTTCTGGTAGTTAACAGATGCAGCTGCTGCTTCCAGCTCATTAGCACGCTCCGACCACCAGGCTTCTCGGTCCTTACGCAAGCTTTGCCCAATTTCCCTACGTAACATCCTTCGTTTATGGTCAAACTCACGGTCACCCGGAGTAGACCGACGGGCTTCAATGAGTTGTAAGGAACCAGAAGAAACCCAGTGCTTAAAAGCGGGACGTTTCGCAAACCCACAACTGACTGTTCCCGCCATTTTCATGGCGTCAATCAATTGCAACCAATGCTCATCTATACTTTTCGGTGGAGTGGTAGCTGGCCTAGAGGCTAACTCGGTTCGATACTTATTTGCAACAGAAGTTGCAACCAGCTTGCTAATATCAATCCTTTGATGGCGGTCACTTCGTTGTCCACTGAAAGGTAAGGCAAGATTGGCGCAGACCAAGGCATGGTCAGAGTCCAGATAGGTACTCCAAAAGGAGCGGCAGTCTTTTACACAACCACGCCAGCGGAAGCTGATCGCGATGTGATCAATCAGTCCAGGCTTGGGATGCAGAGGGAGGACGCCAGGTGGCACATCGGCGATGACTGTGCCGAAAGTTAGTGCTAACCAGAAACAGGTTGTGGTCTGTGCAAAGTTGCAGTAGACGGTCCCCGTTATCTGACCTGCGACCAACGAGTCCCCGTCGGCCACCTAAACGACTCTTTTCTGTGACTAGACGCTCGACTTGAGCATTCAAGTTTCCGGCTAGTACTACAATATCTGTCGAACGCACTTTCTGGAGAAGAACAGATAACTGGTGGTAAAACTCATCCTTGATTGCATCCGGGCTGCAATCTGTCGGCGCATAGGCGGAGATGACGAAAAAACATCGTTTCTCAAGCCGATTTCTTCTCACTTTGATGGAACTTTCTAATCTAACAGCACATAACCGACTGTTAATGGGGATCCAATCGACTAGTGCTGCCTCAGCTCTAGCGCTTAGTGCGACACTAACGCCAACAAGACCAGACTAAGATACCACAAGGTCCCCGGATAAGCGCACGTAAAACAGGCTTTTTGAAGTGACAGATGGAGATCGAATTTGTAGTACTTCACCAGAGTCTTGAATACGGGTCTCGGATAGACAGCAGACATCGATATTGAGACTTTTCAAAGACATGGCCAGCCCTATCTATTGACCAACCTGCATAAGTGTGCGAACGTTGAAGGCAGCCAGTTTGAATGGTGCACGTGATTTCATATTCGGTGGTGTCATACGATTTTCAATCAGACAGTGACTCGAGAACGTTTATATACAGTCGGATTTTCACTAAAGACGAGCCGCTGTCTTAGTATAAAAAAGGGTGAATAATAAGGAAAATAATAATAATAGTAATAATGATAATAATAATAATAATTGTAATGATAATTATTTAAATCAATTCTTTTTCGAAGCGAGAAAAGTAGTTTCCATAGACATAGAGAGTTCATCGTTTGTGTGTGGGCTTTGATACTGCCTGTGTGCCCAAACCGAAGCAGGTGGTTATTTTAAGGGGCTACTCCCCGAGCCTTTGACCTAAAGGTCTAACCCACAAGGCAGTGGAGCATCGTAAGGAGATGCAATGTCATGGTAGCCGGTGACCAAGGATTAGTTCATACGCCTTTTGTTCCCTCAGGATACTGGAGCCTATGAGCACCATTGGTTTGTGATCCGGTTAAAGCGCCGGACATTCGCTTTTCGTCCTCTCATTTTCGTAAACAACACCCCCGTCACGAGAAGGCAATGAGTAGGACCTGTGGCCTAACAGTTAAAAGTTAAGTGACGTAACCATTACTGAGAGCACACATCGAACTATACAGTAAATTTTTCAATATTCAAACCCCGTTTAAAACACGGCCCTTAATTTTCAAATAATTCATGACAAAAGCTTGCATATTAACATCTCGCTTATAAAGAGGAATGGAAATTCGTTAAATAAATCGTTCGTTTAGGAAACACAATATAGTAAGTGATTTATTTTAAAGATTCACCAAAATATCTATTGTAACTCAAACACATGTTTGCAGTTGCTTCTATGTGAATTTCTGGACAATTAGATGAAATCATTATCATTACATTCTCTAACATATTATTGTATATTCATTTGAAAAGATGCTAACAGTTGACAAAATGAAATACTATCTACAGCTAATGAATACAATGTAATATGAAACAACTAACCGGGCAATTTTTATGTGACTTCAGTGATGTATTCCCTTTCGTAACGATACTCCAATTTACCATTTAATTTGCAAGCGACTATGACGGTAAGAAAAATACCTGCTTGAAAACGCATTTCTGGTTTAAATTGACGAGCAATAACAACTAGTAGGCGCAGAATAGCAACCAAGTCTTTCTAATGAATACGTTCGACAGTCCATCGTTGACCGGCCCAACTTTCTGATACATGAAGTACTTCGTTGACAGTTTGTAATACACCCTAAAAATCAATTAGTTAGTTATTTAGTTAGTATTGTTACAGTTACACGCAAGCGTAGAAGCTGTCCAATCTCAGACAGCGTTAACTCAGGATGATCTAGCTTTATCTTTGCTAGTTTTTCAACTAACTTCTGCAGAAGTTGACCGTCGTATAAGTCTTCTTGAATTTCTCTCACGAGAATTCGATGTTCTGATAGTTCGTTGTTAATCCACGTCAATAATTTGTCCACTAAATTCTTAACACTTTCAGAATTCTATTAAAGTTTTACAATAATTTGAGTAAAAACATAAACATACTTGCGACGACTTCTCAATAAAAGAACGCTCTTGTCCTTCTTCCAATTGATATTGCTTGGGGTCGTCAGTTGTTAAAGCACTAACTACCATTTCCGTGGCTTGACGACTTTCTTTATTGAGTTTGTAGCGGTAAATAAATCCCCAAAATAAATAGCTCTGTAAGTTTTTGACATTGGATGCTGACCATATGTTTTAGTGGACTCATCTAGCTGAAGGCGCTCGGTCATGCATCCGCACCAGATCACGTGTGGTAACGCTGTGCTCAACATCTACCACAATCGCTAGCCAGATTAGATCAGAGAATTCCGATATATTGGTTATCGCCAAATACACTCTTCCGATCTCCTCGACTCTGTCTTTTGATTTCTCTCGGTGGGAACAAAGTATATTAGAAGGTGTTACTGCTAGAAGCGTTGTCAAACACTGAATACCTGTATCATCCTCAAGTTCTTCAACTTCCAGGCGAGCTTTTCTCTTACGCTTGAAAGTGTCCAAATTTGAAAGAATAGAATCGTGACTTTAATCCTGCCACAGTAGTCATTATAATTTAAGCTGAATTCACCAAAGCATAAAGCAAAAAGATGAATAATTCTGATGGGCAACAAATTAACTGAAAATAATACTTCATTGCAAAAACACAACAATTGTATGACCCAGGTAAACAAAAATCTCTAGCACATCTTTTTTGCAAACAAATCAACAATGATCCTTGTAAATTTAGTATGTTAACGACACATCTCATAACATCTAACAGGGATAGAATACAGGCTTTTACAAAAGACGTACTGAGAAGCAGATGGTTATGCATGACATGGAACCTGCCACACTCCATTAGGCCGGCAAGGTAGCTACAGTATCAGAAGCAGAAAAACTGCGTACATGAAAACTTGAGATTTTGGGACTTAGATTCTAAATGACATGAAGAGTAGACGCGCCCATGCCATTGCAAACGACCCTGAGTAGCGTCACTTAACGTCTGTAATCACTGGTTACAATAATCGTGCGGACCACAGCCAGATAGCCCACACCTATTTACATGGTTTTGTCTAATTGTTCTCAAGTAGCTGTCCCCCAAAGTTGGGAGCTTGGGGTGTATTATATCAGGATGTACGTTACCGTACACTCTGATATATTAATTAACAAGCGCTGTTGTATCGCTAATAAAAATAATACCGGTATATTCACGAAGCAGTAAGGCTTGAAACAAAAATGTAAAAACAAGGTTGAAGCAGTAGACTGACAATAAAAACATCATATATGTAACCCATGAAGTTCAGCTTTTCGTAAATTTGGATCTATTTGAAGGTACCTTGTGAGTGTTAATGTGAAAATCTGGAACAGAAAAAAACAACAACAAATAAGCTGCAAACTTGGCAATTACATCTAATCTAGTAATCAGGAATAGATGGCGTTAATATTTAAAGGAGTCACAAATCATGTTCAGTGTCAAATGGTTCAAATGGTTGTAGACGTTATAGAAGAAGCTTTCGCTTAACGGGCTTCTGTGTCTAGTAGCAGTGGATCACCAATACTTCCAGATAGGAAACTATGTATTTTAACGATAATAGAGGAAAAACAAGTTGATAAGTCATAGTAAGATATCCTCAGTCCCCAAGAATAGGTCAAGTTGCCTCTTAAAGGACTCCTGGGAAGTCGCTTTAACTAGTTCAGCCGGCAGCGAATTCCAGCATTTGACAACTCATAAGCAGTAGAAGTTGTGTCTATAACCTTATCTACTATGTTGTGTCTCCAGTTTTTGGGTGTTAACCCTCAGGTTTGTATTGGACCTAAACTTAAAGTAGGTGTTTAAGGGGATGTCCAGAAGTGTTAAGGATACTGTAGGCCATTAGAAGGTCACCTCTAAGACGCCTATACTCTAATGGGTAAAGTTTGTAGCGGTAAATAAATCCCCAAAATAAATAGCTCTGCTAGTCTTCGAGATTGGATGCTGACCACATTAGTTTCAATGGACCGACGTAACTGAAGGCGCTCGGTCATTCATCCGCACCAGATCACGAGTTGGATAAAATAGGCATCTGTTGCATTATTAATTTATTTATTTGAACACATAAATATTGGTACAAGAGAGCGCTAATATATATGCGCCACACAAAACAATGAAAATTCGAAGAGAGATAGAAAAAAAAAACTAAGGACCACAAAAGATAGTGTGGTCGTAACGATGGAACAGAAAGGTACAATCAGAAGAAATCTTTCAAGTAAGGGAGACACAACCACTTTTTATGAAGAAAGTAAAAGAAGGTTACAGCAGGATCGCCACTGGCTTCTATTCTGAGCCATATCTGATAACGTCTCTAGCCACTGTGTAGCACCATCTCTCAGACCCCAACCAGGGAGTCGTGAAGGACCGACAGAAGCCAGTCCTTTGCAGCTTTCTTTCATACCACGACACCATGTCATGCACTGACCACCTCTCCGCTTTTTCCAACCAGTCCCAGAGTCGGAAAATAATGCACGACGTGGAATTCTCTGGGACGACATTCGTAGAACATGTCCAAGCCACCGAAGTCGGTGTTTCAAGATGGTGACACCAATTGAATTATCATCTCTGTGCCCAAACACATGATGCCGAACCTCTGCATTACTGACATGGTGTTGCCACTGAATATCAGCAATCCTTCGGAGACAGCGATGATCGAACACAGAGAGTCGTCTAACGTCCTCAACTCGGAGAGGCCAGGTTTCACAAGCATAGAGCAAAACTGCTCTCACCGACGCGTTGTAGATCCGACCTTTTACAGCCAGACTAACATCACGAAGGCGCCAAAGATGGCCCAGATTGGCATAAGCCACTCTGGCTTTCACTATACGTGCATTGATCTCATCACTCACACCCCCACCAGCACTTATGCAGCTACCCAGATACACGAACTTCTCGACTACGTCTATCTGCTCACCATCCAGGGTGAGTACAGGATTGGAATCCTGCCAGTCTTGTAGAAGTACTTTGCACTTCGAAGGTGCAAAGCACATACCCATACTTACGGACACTGATTGCCAACTGATTAAGTGCGGATTGCATGCCTTGGGCGTTATCACACTGTAAGACAATATCATCCGCATACTCAAGGTCGAGAAGTCTTTCTCCAGGCAACAGATCCACACCACTATTACTTACATCCATCAGAGTTGTTTCTAGAATGTAATCGATGGCAAAATTGAAGAGGAATGATGAGATTGGGCGACCCTGTCTAACTCCACTGCTCGAATGGAACAATGGAGAGAGGTAGTTGTATGCCCTCACTCTGCCTGAGGTGTTTGTATATAGGGCTTTTAGGATGTTAATAAAATTCTCAGACACACCCTTCTTCAATAGACAATCCCAGAGAACAGTCCTATCCAACGAATCGAAGGCAGCCCTGATGTCAAGAAACACTACGATTGTTGGCCTTTGATAAGTATGGCGGCGTTCTAACATTAATAATAATAATAATAATAATTTATTCTCAAATAACAGTTTGTTACATGAGGCATGCCAGTTTACAGGCAAGATCAAATTGATACAAATGATACAATATACACTGCAATAAATTACATAGCTGGGTTGATAATTTATAAGATATGAATGTCGATGGTTTAAATCAGTACTACAGTTGGCGCGCTTCATGAAAATCGCGTTGCGAATGTGCGACTGATGGTCAAGAATAGGTCCATTGAAGGTATGGGCTTCTAAAAATCGCAACCTTATTTTTTTCTGGGATATCCAAGGCTTTAAGGATGGTGCAGGATGAAGTCACCAGTTCCATATCTCAAGGGGGCTGAAAGAGGGAGCAAGTAAAAGAAAACACGAGAGGCAGAGTAGCCAATATTCATGAAAGAATGCTTAAGGTATGATTACTCAGTCTAATTTTCCTTTATTACGGTATATGTTAAGAAAGAGCATTTTAATAGGTTAAAGAAAATAAGTGTTGACAAGGTGTGAGTGGACATACAACTGACAAATGGGGGCGATTCGGAAAAGAGCTGATAGTATAAGATTATGTGTGATATGATATGTGAAGATATGATCAATACATCCTCGATCAGAACGAATCCCAGCCTGCTCCTCGCGAGCCAATCTTTCTCGGGTTTTGAACAACTCACGAAGTATGAGGGAATCCAATAGCTTGGACGCGATCGGAAGTAGACTTATCTTCCGATGGTTGTTACAGGAACAACGTGAACCCTTTTTAAAGATAGAGACAGCTATCAACTCATTCCATGACGTTTGTACACTCTGTAGCTCCCAAAGCTTTGTAAACAACGTCGTCAGTTCCTTAGTCAGAAAGTCACCACCATCTTTCAAAAGAGCCGGAGGTAATTCATCTGTACCAGGTGATTTGCAACGCTTCAAGAGTTAGAGTTCCTTGCGGACTTCCTCCTCATTGGTGGATCAGTTGTCATCGGCCATGGAGGGTAGGACAGTCTGACTGATGTTGCCGAAGCAGCAGACCAGTTGGACTGCCCTTCGAAAAATTCTGCCCATCGTCCAAGACGTCGATGGATGTTAGTGATTGGCATCCCACCATCCTCGCAGATTGTTTCACTCACACCAGATTTCTTGCTGCCAGTGGCTCGGATGAGCTGGAAGAGCTTCTGGTAGTTAACAGATGCAGCTGCTGCTTCCAGCTCATTAGCACGCTCCGACCACCAGGCTTCTCGGTCCTTACGCAAGCTTTGCCCAATTTCCCTACGTAACATCCTTCGTTTATGGTCAAACTCACGGTCACCCGGAGTAGACCGACGGGCTTCAATGAGTTGTAAGGAACCAGAAGAAACCCAGTGCTTAAAAGCGGGACGTTTCGCAAACCCACAACTGACTGTTCCCGCCATTTTCATGGCGTCAATCAATTGCAACCAATGCTCATCTATACTTTTCGGTGGAGTGGTAGCTGGCCTAGAGGCTAACTCGGTTCGATACTTATTTGCAACAGAAGTTGCAACCAGCTTGCTAATATCAATCCTTTGATGGCGGTCACTTCGTTGTCCACTGAAAGGTAAGGCAAGATTGGCGCAGACCAAGGCATGGTCAGAGTCCAGATAGGTACTCCAAAAGGAGCGGCAGTCTTTTACACAACCACGCCAGCGGAAGCTGATCGCGATGTGATCAATCAGTCCAGGCTTGGGATGCAGAGGGAGGACGCCAGGTGGCACATCGGCGATGACTGTGCCGAAAGTTAGTGCTAACCAGAAACAGGTTGTGGTCTGTGCAAAGTTGCAGTAGACGGTCCCCGTTATCTGACCTGCGACCAACGAGTCCCCGTCGGCCACCTAAACGACTCTTTTCTGTGACTAGACGCTCGACTTGAGCATTCAAGTTTCCGGCTAGTACTACAATATCTGTCGAACGCACTTTCTGGAGAAGAACAGATAACTGGTGGTAAAACTCATCCTTGATTGCATCCGGGCTGCAATCTGTCGGCGCATAGGCGGAGATGACGAAAAAACATCGTTTCTCAAGCCGATTTCTTCTCACTTTGATGGAACTTTCTAATCTAACAGCACATAACCGACTGTTAATGGGGATCCAATCGACTAGTGCTGCCTCAGCTCTAGCGCTTAGTGCGACACTAACGCCAACAAGACCAGACTAAGATACCACAAGGTCCCCGGATAAGCGCACGTAAAACAGGCTTTTTGAAGTGACAGATGGAGATCGAATTTGTAGTACTTCACCAGAGTCTTGAATACGGGTCTCGGATAGACAGCAGACATCGATATTGAGACTTTTCAAAGACATGGCCAGCCCTATCTATTGACCAACCTGCATAAGTGTGCGAACGTTGAAGGCAGCCAGTTTGAATGGTGCACGTGATTTCATATTCGGTGGTGTCATACGATTTTCAATCAGACAGTGACTCGAGAACGTTTATATACAGTCGGATTTTCACTAAAGACGAGCCGCTGTCTTAGTATAAAAAAGGGTGAATAATAAGGAAAATAATAATAATAGTAATAATGATAATAATAATAATAATTGTAATGATAATTATTTAAATCAATTCTTTTTCGAAGCGAGAAAAGTAGTTTCCATAGACATAGAGAGTTCATCGTTTGTGTGTGGGCTTTGATACTGCCTGTGTGCCCAAACCGAAGCAGGTGGTTATTTTAAGGGGCTACTCCCCGAGCCTTTGACCTAAAGGTCTAACCCACAAGGCAGTGGAGCATCGTAAGGAGATGCAATGTCATGGTAGCCGGTGACCAAGGATTAGTTCATACGCCTTTTGTTCCCTCAGGATACTGGAGCCTATGAGCACCATTGGTTTGTGATCCGGTTAAAGCGCCGGACATTCGCTTTTCGTCCTCTCATTTTCGTAAACAACACCCCCGTCACGAGAAGGCAATGAGTAGGACCTGTGGCCTAACAGTTAAAAGTTAAGTGACGTAACCATTACTGAGAGCACACATCGAACTATACAGTAAATTTTTCAATATTCAAACCCCGTTTAAAACACGGCCCTTAATTTTCAAATAATTCATGACAAAAGCTTGCATATTAACATCTCGCTTATAAAGAGGAATGGAAATTCGTTAAATAAATCGTTCGTTTAGGAAACACAATATAGTAAGTGATTTATTTTAAAGATTCACCAAAATATCTATTGTAACTCAAACACATGTTTGCAGTTGCTTCTATGTGAATTTCTGGACAATTAGATGAAATCATTATCATTACATTCTCTAACATATTATTGTATATTCATTTGAAAAGATGCTAACAGTTGACAAAATGAAATACTATCTACAGCTAATGAATACAATGTAATATGAAACAACTAACCGGGCAATTTTTATGTGACTTCAGTGATGTATTCCCTTTCGTAACGATACTCCAATTTACCATTTAATTTGCAAGCGACTATGACGGTAAGAAAAATACCTGCTTGAAAACGCATTTCTGGTTTAAATTGACGAGCAATAACAACTAGTAGGCGCAGAATAGCAACCAAGTCTTTCTAATGAATACGTTCGACAGTCCATCGTTGACCGGCCCAACTTTCTGATACATGAAGTACTTCGTTGACAGTTTGTAATACACCCTAAAAATCAATTAGTTAGTTATTTAGTTAGTATTGTTACAGTTACACGCAAGCGTAGAAGCTGTCCAATCTCAGACAGCGTTAACTCAGGATGATCTAGCTTTATCTTTGCTAGTTTTTCAACTAACTTCTGCAGAAGTTGACCGTCGTATAAGTCTTCTTGAATTTCTCTCACGAGAATTCGATGTTCTGATAGTTCGTTGTTAATCCACGTCAATAATTTGTCCACTAAATTCTTAACACTTTCAGAATTCTATTAAAGTTTTACAATAATTTGAGTAAAAACATAAACATACTTGCGACGACTTCTCAATAAAAGAACGCTCTTGTCCTTCTTCCAATTGATATTGCTTGGGGTCGTCAGTTGTTAAAGCACTAACTACCATTTCCGTGGCTTGACGACTTTCTTTATTGAGTTTGTAGCGGTAAATAAATCCCCAAAATAAATAGCTCTGTAAGTTTTTGACATTGGATGCTGACCATATGTTTTAGTGGACTCATCTAGCTGAAGGCGCTCGGTCATGCATCCGCACCAGATCACGTGTGGTAACGCTGTGCTCAACATCTACCACAATCGCTAGCCAGATTAGATCAGAGAATTCCGATATATTGGTTATCGCCAAATACACTCTTCCGATCTCCTCGACTCTGTCTTTTGATTTCTCTCGGTGGGAACAAAGTATATTAGAAGGTGTTACTGCTAGAAGCGTTGTCAAACACTGAATACCTGTATCATCCTCAAGTTCTTCAACTTCCAGGCGAGCTTTTCTCTTACGCTTGAAAGTGTCCGAATTTGAAAGAATAGAATTGTGACTTTAATTCTGCCACAGTAGTCATTATAATTTAAGTTGAATTCACCAAAGCATAAAGCAAAAAGATGAATAATTCTGATGGGCAACAAATTAACTGAAAATATTACTTCATTGCAAAAACATAACAATTGTATGACCCAGGTAAACAAAAATCTCTAGCACATCTTCTTGCAAACAAATCAACAATGATACTTTAAAATTTAGTATGTTAACGACACATCTCATAACACCTAACAGGGATAGAATACAGGCTTTTACAAAAGGCGTACTGAGAAGCAGATGGTCATGCATGACATGGAACCTGCCACACTCCATTAGGCCGCCAAGGTAGTTACAGTATCAGCAGAAAAACTGCGTACATGAAAACTTGAGATTTTGGGACTTAGGTTCTAAATGACATGAAGAGTAGACGCGCCAATGCCATTGCAAACGACCCTGAGTAGCGTCACTCAACGTCTTTAATCACTGGTTACGATAATCGTGCAGACCACAGCCAGGTAGCCCACACCTATTTACATGGTTTTGTCTAATTATTCTCAAGTAGTTGTCCCCCAAAGTTGGGAGCTTGGGATGTATTCTATCAGGATGTACGTTAACGTACACTCTGATATATTAATTAACAAGCGTTGTTGTATCGCTAATAAAAATACTACCGGTATATTCACGAAGCAGTAAGGCTTGAAACAAGAATGTAAAAACAGGGTTGAAGTAGCAGACTGACAATAAAAACATCATATATGTAACCCATGAAGTTCAGCTTTTCGTAAATTTGGATCTACTTTGAAGGTACCTTGTGAGTGTTAATGTGAAAATCTGGAACAGAAAAAAAAACAAATAAGCTACAAACTTAGCAATTACATCCAATCTAGTAACCAGGAATAGATGGCGTTAATATTTGAAGGAGTCACATATCAAGTTCAGTGTCAAATGGTTCAAATGGTTGTGGACGTAATAGAAGAAGCTTTCGCTTAACGGGCTTCTGTGTCTAGTAGCAGTGGATCACCAATACTTCCAGATAGGAAACTAGGTATATTAACGATAATAGAGGAAAAACAAATTGGTAAATCATAGTAAGATATCCTCAGTCCCCAAGAATAGGTCAAGTTGCCTCTTGAAGGACTCCTGAGAAATCGCTTTAACTAGTTCAGCTGACAGAGAATTCCAGCATTTGACAACTCATAAGGAGTAGAAGTTATGTCTATAACCTTATCTACTATGTTGTGTCTCCAATTATTGGGTGTTAACCCTCAGGTTTGTATTGGACCTAAACTTAAAGTAGGTGTTTAAGGGGATGTCCAGAAGTGTTAAGGATACTGTAGGCCATTAGAAGGTCACCTCTAAGACGCCTATACTCTAATGGGTAAAGTTTGTAGCGGTAAATAAATCCCCAAAATAAATAGCTCTGCTAGTCTTCGAGATTGGATGCTGACCACATTAGTTTCAATGGACCGACGTAACTGAAGGCGCTCGGTCATTCATCCGCACCAGATCACGAGTTGGAACGTCGTGCTCAACATCTTCTGCAATCGCTAGCCAGATTAGATCAGTCGATCCTCGATATATTGATAGGTTATCACATATATCTTCAAACCTCCTCGCTTCTGTCTTTTGATTTCAGTTGGTGAGTACGCTTCATATTAGGTGTTGCTGGTTAGAAAGTTCGGACGGAGAATCACATCTCAAGCTTCCAGATCTTGTTTTTGATGGACTACAAAAACATGGCATTATTGTAAACATTCAGAAATGCCAAATCGGAACTGACTCATTAAACTTTCTAGGACACACTATAGATGCGCAAGGCATTCAACCCCTAAAACAAAAGTGGCAGCCATTCTAGATTGCCCAAAACCGACCACGATCAATCAATTACGATTGTTTAACGGCCTTATAAGTTTTTATAGACGATTCATTCCGAAATACGCGTTACCCATGAAACCTTCGTGGAAATGCGAAATCCATCAATTTGAACGACATCGTGTGAAAAGCATTCTCCACGGTCGAGGAACTTATTGCTCAAGCAACAATGCTTGCTCATCAGGACACTGAAGTGCCCATTAGTATCGCAGGAGACGCATCCGATCCGACAATCTATGAAGTCTTACAACCTTTAGCATTGTTCTCCAGACGATTGCTAGACACCGAATCGAGATACAGCACATTCGGTAGGGAACTCCTAACTATGAATTGTGTTGTACGGTATCTTAAACAGCACGCTCCTGTGTGAGCGGCCAGAAATTCAGGATAATTAGACACGACAAAGGTCCCTTAGGCTCATTTAAAACTCCTGATGCTCGTTTCGATTAAGTTCATCTGGATTTGGTAGGACATTTATCAGATTCAAATGGATACTCTCAACTTTTAACCTGAGTAGATCGTCTCACTCAATGACCAGAAGCAGTATCCATCAGAGACATTACTCACGAAACAGTGTCTGACTACAGGTTGGTTATACAACATGACCTTTCCTGAAACCACGCTGTTGGGTGAAAAGAAATTTAAGAACATTAAATAGTCATGTATACCGCCGTATATCAGGGATTTCATAATTTTTGAAGATATAGACAGAAGAGCTAGCAGTTGGTAACTTGAAGGTTCGCTGCGTTGACCTCCTTTGAAAATTGGTGTGATGTGAGTCAGCTTCCAGTCTTGAGGCTGCTTGACTTTGTATAACGGAATAAACCATATCCGGGCCAAGAGAAATGTCTTTTCTTAGGTGCTGCAATTTCCGGAACCCCAAGTTCGTGCTTAGGTTCACTATGGAAAGTCCTGTGCAGTAGCAAATGAAGCTTTCCTCAATATAATTAATGTGGATCGGTCGAAATGTCTGAGAGTATCGTTCAGCCGCAAATTTAGCGGCGACGTCATCGTTATTTGTCGGGCCGTTAGGACCTAGCCGTTGGTAAACTCATGTTTAGGCTTGACGAAGAGAGGCTTTATATCGAAATATGCTTTTCGGATCGGAGACAAATTTGTCGACAAGCTCTATCTGATACTGAAGCCTGTCTTCTCTCACAGCCTTCGTGCATATGTTCCCTATATGTTTGTGTTGCATGTACGCTCCATTATTGTCAGTTCGTTTGTGTTCTGCCCAACAGTGCCTTTTGTGGCTTAGCAGGCAAAGAGCACGGTTTTTGATGACTGTAGGTTGCTTGTAGCTTTTAGAGACCGTTTAAGGGACTGACTGCTTTGTAGCACATGAGATCATGCGCAGTAAGAAGTCCCAATGTGTATCCACATCGAGTTGAGGGTTAACATCCCAATCCACCTGTTTTATATAATCCTGTAGAACTGATACATTCAACCGTTTTAAATTCCAGCGCCTGTTGTTGGTGGGATATCTTAGCTCAGTTTTGCTGACAAAACTATATGTTATAACAGCGTGATCGCTCCTTCGCTGGAGAGCCAGAATTGAGAGATTGTCAACTGGGAATTCTACGTTTGTAAATACTCAGTCTAAGCGCGACGGTGTCTGACTGTTTCTCCAACAAGTTGCCGACTTCACATTTTCGTATAATCGCAGATCGTCAGTGAGGTTGAAGAACCGAGCTTCAGTTGAGTTTTCATCCCCAATATACGTATGTTCCGTGAAATTGACTCTAGGGAGATTGAAGTCCCCTAGAATCAGGATATGAGTGAAACCGAGACGTGTAGAGCGGGATAATCCTTCCAGCATACGACTGTCATACTCGATGTCAGCAACGGGCTTCCTATATATGACGTCAACTAGGTACCTTGAAGTAGTAAACAATCTCACTGAGCACCATCTGGATTCCTCAAGATTGTTAAACCTGAGGTAATGAACTTAGTGCACCTCCAAGGAAGATCGTATGTATACTCCATCCTCAATGCCAGTTTTTCTGTCGTTGCAAAACAAAGACATCCCAGGTATTAGTAGCCCCTGGTCCGAAAACTGAGATATCCAAGATTCAGATATTCCTATCAGATGAGCACTAGTAGCATTGCTAAGTTCACGTAGCTCATCCGTTTTGTTTGATATACTCGCTGCGTTCATATATGAACAGTTTTTACTTTCAATTTGAAACGTGTGAGCTTCTTTCTGTTTATCTGTGTGAGCCTTACGTGAATGGACTGATGGCCTACCTATATATGGTTGGCTGAGTTGGTAAACCCTGCCCCTTACACGTTTATTTTATCATCAAGACAGTCCACAGTCCACGTTTCATACACTAAGTCACGAAACGTCAGAAAATCCAATTTTCTACTCATTGAGATACTACAAATATATTATTTTTATTTATAACTGGGGATTGTTTACGGATGATTAACTAAAATATGTCGTATATGTTATCAATTATCATGTTAAATTCAGTTTTGATGCTTGTTGCCCAACTAAGGCATTTTCGCATGTTCCGATTGACTTACATTCCCACTTCTAGAACGATTACGGAGGACAGAGGAAATAATGCACAAATAGGAAAACTCCATTGAAGTTCGAAGGCTAAATGGCCTAGTAAACCTGGAGATCAGGCTCATGAATTGAATGTGTACTCAGAAGCACCAGTTTTATAAGAACTGTTCAAGTGTGTGGGAACTATTTTAAATGACTTGCAGGC